CAACCTGTTTGTGGCCATACGGGTCCCCCACACAATGCCTGCTATTAGGGGCTGTAGTTAGCGTGGCCATCTTTGAGTGACATTGCTTAGAAGGGAGAAATGATGTTGGGGTATTGGCAGTGACCCAGTTTGTGGTGAGAAGGTGTGTGACAAGGCTCCCCCGAGAAGGACTCCATCAGTGTGCTATGGCACTGTTGAATCAGATATCCTGTCCTCCTCTCCTGTTAGCATTAAGAAAAGGCATAAGAAAGTTCGATTAAAAATGTGAGCATTTCACCCACTGTTAGAAAAACAGCACCCCCGCAGCGGCTGCACTTGTGAGATCCAGAGGAGCAGTTGCACAGTCAGGCTTTCTCTCTGGGCTAGGGCTGGCCTTTGGACTCTGTCTCAGCTCTGGCAGAAAATGATGGCTGGATTTTCAAAGGTGGCTATGGGAGAAGTTTTTCTGCAGTTTTATTGCAACATCCCTACCCTACCACTAGTTCTCCTCTTCCGAGACAGTAATCAATCTAAGATCAACATGGAAGTTGCGACATCTTGCTTCTGCTTTGCTTTGTTTTAATCAGGCTTGCTTGAAATGTCATATTTAAATGAGTAAGACTCTAGAAATCTCATCTGTAGACTGTCAGGCAGTAGCTGTGTGCAGAGCTTGGCACAAGGCACCTGGGACTACCTGAGATCTCTAATTGCCACCCATAAATATCAACATGTGTGGAGAAGGTGAATGCAAAGGACAGAAAATAGCCCTACTCTATGCTGTAGCATGATTCATGCTTTTAAGATCAAGATTAAAAGTCTCTGTTAGATTTCAAACTATGATTTTATTTTCATTTACATCAAAGGATTTAAGAGCCTTCAAAAGCCAGCGTTTTTAAAAATAACTTAAAACATACTGTCTGGCAATGTGCGTCTCGCTTAGCACAGAAGCAGCCAGGCTCTCCTCGTATAAAGCAAATAACTGAAAAATCAGAATTAAAGAAATGCCTTGTCCTGAATTTAACTCTGACAGCTTGCATCGCATTGTTTCAGGAAAAAGACTTCATGAAACACATGCCCTTGCAGCCGGGACATAGCCCGAGGTGATAAGCCCTATGTATCAGCGAAAGCCGCGCGCCATAAAAGCTTGTGTGAGGGTTTGGAACCTCGATTAGAATTTCGGGGCTTGTTTGTATTTCAAAAGCAAAGCCACTGAGCTGCATCTTGAAAACCATATTCCAGTACAGGTTTCCTCAAAACACAGCCAAGGTTTGATCAAAAGGTTCTCAAGTCTGTGAGCCTTTTGACAAACCCAATGAATGTTTACACTTGCAAAGTAAACCCCAAACCAAGGGAATTTGCATGGGCTTGCTACGGAGATTTTTTTTCTTCTGCAGTTCTTGCCAAAATCCCATCTATGCCCTGGGATTGGGCTTTTGTGGCTGGCATTCTAGTATTTGTATTGATAACCTTGCCAGAGGCACACAAAAAAAATAAATATCTACACCCAAACAAAATATTTGGCTGTATTTGTAAAACCCCAAATAAAAAGCAAGCTTGTATTTGTGTTTAATCGTAGCGTCCATTCGTATAGATGGGACTGCAGAGTGTCCAGTTGCCCAAAGAATGGGGCCAATCCTGACTGCAGGAAGAACCACGCTGTTAGTGGGGCGATGACCGCCTCAGGAGGTGCCTGTTTGCCGTGTGTGGGTTTTCACCATCAGACAAAACTGCTGTTCCTTTCACTGATAGCCCTGCTGCCACCACGGCAGGACGTCCCTTGCCAAGGAGACCGAAAGGCTCAGGGCACGCCAGAGGTGCTGTTGATGTAGAAGAGCTGCCGGGAGTTGCATTTTTTAGCGGCTGACAGTGACTGAATTTGGATGATTTCACACTCTGGCCAGCGCTGCCTCGCCTGACCGAGGCGTAGCGGGTGCCAACAGAAAACATGAGCCCGGCACGCGAATATCAGCGAGCACATGCACCGAGCCTCGCGCCTGGCTGACTGGAATCGATAGAAAAAAAACCAACCTAAATGGCTTTTTTTCCCCTTTTTTTGGGAGCGGGCCCTCCCCGAGCCTCCCGGCGCAGCGGGGCCCCCTGGTGGCCGCGGCGGCGCTGCGCGGGAGCGCTGCCTTCGGGAATAGCCGCGCTGCGCAGCTTGCGTAACGCAGGGCCGTGAGGGGGCAAGGCCTGCGCGCGGCCGAGGGGATATGAGAGGGGCGCTACCGAAGAAATACCGCGGCTGCCAAGGTCTGATTAGTCATAAAACCCGCAGCATTATCGCCATCCGTCACTGCCTTGCTTTTAATGACCCGACTAAAAAGAGAGGCATCGAAGTTGTGTTGTGGTGCTTGTCGTCGTCGGGGGAGTGAGGTGCCCGAAGTGAAGGCCGGGCACTGGGTCCCGGCGCGGCCCGATAGAAGCCTGCCCAAAAAAACGGAGCAATCGTTTGAATGAATCACAAAACATATGTTATGTTTTGCTGTAAAAGCCATGAAGTTTATGCAGCGCTCTATTATGGTGACTGCTTGGCTTTTCATGCATTCCTAAATTACCATGTAATCTAAAACCTTGTTTTCAGCTGCTCTATATTGGAAAGTCCCTTGCAATAATCAGGATGATTACAGGCTGGTTCAGAGAACAAAACTTGTTTGTATTATTGCAAATAAAAAACGAGTTTATCAGAAATTTTACCTTTTCAAGGGAAAAATAAAGATAATCATAATAATAAACTTTTTTTTTTTTTTTCCCTTGCTGGAAATATTTTAGGCATGGAATTAATTTTGGCCACTCTGTGACTTAAAAACACATAGATACTTGGTGTAAAAATATGTTTCTTTCCTGTAGGGACTTGACTCTAATTGGTGTGCCAAAACTATCTCACAGAGATTTCATTGTCTTATCTACTTACATCATCTTAATGCGATTTTATTTTACTTTGTCAAAGTCATATTAATGTAAATGTGTTCTTGATAGCAAACAGAGTTCTTTTTTATGCTAAACAGGATTCAGCTGACTCTAATAAAACAGCTTGCAATCCATTAGGCTATAACTGTAATATAGTTATTTTGTTTCCCAAATAAAGACTGTGTCAGAGAGCTGTATAAGGATTTTTTTTCTCTTGTTTTTCCACAATAATTGCTTGGGTGGGGTTACATTCTGATCTTTAAATGAATAGTATCGCTTGGAACAAACACTTCATATATCTTTTATCTTCCCCTTGCAATACAGTTCTGAGTTTTCTTTGAAAATGCAAAGCTACTTTTCCAGATAAGTCATCAAAATGTTTCCAAAGTATTTTAACTGCCAGATTAACTATATCTTGAATACAAAGATAGATGGCTTACATTCTTTATGCAGAAATCCTGCCAATGCATAGCAACTAGCAACAAATTAATTTCTTTTGCAACAGTGAAAAAAATCTGCTTTGCTATGCAAAGCTCAAAAAGGTAAATAGATATTTAAAAAGAAAATAAGGTTACTCATTCTGAAAGGGTAATCTGTAAGCAAAGAACAGAGGATTAAACATACACTTGCTCTCTTTACAGAATCTGTGTTCTAGCCTTCTCTTAATGTATTCAGCTAATTAAGGATTGCAGTGACCTTGTGGCAGATTTTGAAATCTAGGAAGTTATGTTTTATTTTTTTTTAATTTTTATTATTTTTTGTAATGCCGCCTCCCCCACAGAGCTTAATACAATCTGTTTCAGGTCAAAGTCTGTTTATGTCAGCAATGTTCGTACTACACAACTAAAATGTTTTAATGCATTTATCAACTGGAAAATATTGCAAACATTTCATTTCCTTTGATACAGACACAAAAAACCCTCTGCCTTCATTGCAAATTCTTGTTCATATGAATCACTCTGAGTAATATTTGCTTTAACTTTCGTGTGGTTCTACAAACAGTCTTTATATGGCTGGACTTCAAAGCTGGTAGAAATAAAGGTTAGAAATGTGATAGGAGTAATCTATTATTAGGCATGAAACATTAAACCACTTTTAGTTATAAGCCTTAAAACCTGAATAATCTGGGTTTTTAACTTGCTGCATATTTATTGTGTTTTCAGTTACTTCAGTCATTTAGCATGGAGGGACTGTTTTGAACAGAAATATTTTCCATAGGAATACGAACCACAATTGGGTTTAATTTTTCCTAATATTTAATTTAGAGAAACTGCAATATTATAACAGGCTTCTCATATGTCAAAGCTGAAATAGTCTGCTTGGTGTTTCTTGCAGTGTAAAATTAATCTCTTACCAGCATGCTGACCCGAAAGGCAGGTTTTAGTAAAATAGGCATGGGGTAAAGGAAGGGGGGGATGGGAAAGAAAGATAAAATCTCGTTCTTCAAATAGCAGGGAGGAAAAAAATAACACAGAGGAATGTCACAGCCTGCCATTGACATCAAATGACAAAAAATGTCCCAAATGTGTGTGTGTGTGTGAGAAGTTTCTTTGACAAAAAAAAAAAAAAAAGTATGAGCTTTATCCGTAGCTGCCTACATGGTAGGAATGTTAATTGTTAAAATCTGCACTGTGGCATTTCTTGTAAGCAAGAGAGTTGTAGTCGATGTGCATTCATGTTTGCCTCTTCCCTCCCCTTTGTATATTTACAGTACAAGGAATGTAGTAATGTTCTGAAAGGAGTCAGATGTCGCAGGCAGATCTCTATAGATTTGGGGAACTTTAAACTGCTCCACTGATAGGAGGGGGTAGGAACAAAACTCTGCATTGGTAACATTTTGTTCTTGATTAAGTTTGTGTACTAATACAGTAGATTAAAAATAAGTCCAACAGTCAAAAACACGTAACAGTTCAAGCCAAACAGGTCAGCCAGAAATAAACTATCATTTGAAATCCAGAATTTGAAATTCTCATGAGCCTGGGAAAACACAGGGGTACAGCCCGGGCCTGATCCTGGCCCCATCAGTGCCAAGGGGAATTTTACTATCAATAACATGAGAAAATCAACATTTCTCTGTTGATTTCAAACCTAAAAATTTTATTTTGTTTCCTTAGGTCCCCCGATGCTGCCCCATGCCGTGGAACAGGGTGCAGTGGGCTCTTGCACCACAGTGATTCTTCCAGCCCAGAAGTAGGTCGCCTCAGGTCTCCTCACTACAGACATCCCAGCCACATGAAAAGCAAACCCAAGACATCATGTGAAGCAGGTAATAGATTTAAAGTATGCATGTGGGGAAGGTGGTGTTCTCGGGCTCCCCCAGTTTCCCATCAGCATCGTGTGTTTTTGAGGAATTTGTTGTCTTCCTTCACAGCAGTTGGCAGGACGGTCCCTGGGCCTTTAGGTCAACAGGCCAAGTCCCCCATGTGTAACAACCTCTGGAGAAGCCAAGCCAGTTACCTTTGGTGTAGTGGTGGGACCCCACTCAATGGTGATTTGCACATTTGGGAGTGGAAAAATCTACCTGGCTATTTATATTTTGGTCGGTGAAAGAATCAGGCCACACCCACATATCTCATTTGTATAAAAAAAAAAAAAAGCATCAACAGCATTGTAGTCTCCACCTTGATTTCTCCCGTGCTTCTCTAGTGCTCCTGGTCCTGAGCCAGCCTGGTTTAATAGGTTACACTGCAAACACTGGGACGGTGGTACTTTGCAAGGTTGCACATTCACAGGAAGCATATGTGCACAAAGCCGTAACAGTTGCAGACTAAGGAGCAATAGCCCTGGCAAGCAACTGCGAGAGATGTTAATATTGCTGGGGAAGGTGAAAACGTAATTGAAACCGTTTATTTTGGTGGCATGCGGGACTGAACAAGGCGATAGTTTCTGAGCAACAAATATCTGTAATTCGCTTTTCCTGGTCTTACAGACTTTTAATTTGCTCTACAAATTTGGTTAGTTGGAGAGCATGTAAACACCAAGAACAGTACATGGCAATCCATTAAACATTAACTTACTGTAGACTTAAAAAAAAACAAAAAAAACACCACCCCACTCTTATGATATTAAAAACATAAGGCGAAAGAGATGCCAGGCTAGTGAATGAAGCCAGCTGACTGCTGAGAAGAGACTATGGTTTTGCTCTATAGCTTTGCCGTTTTCAGTAATCTGAGTCACTGAGATATTTTTAGGCACAGTAACAACTTCCATTGTCAAGTAATTTTTCACTTGAATTTTCCTCAAATAATGCTGTCCTCCTGGCCCCCAAATTCCTTTATTCAGCAAGGCAGAGTACTGCCCTGCATGCCCTGAGGAGGAAGGGGAGCCATGGAGAGCTCTGATGATTCGGACCACATGGTGGAACAAGATAGATCTCAGCACCAGGTTGGCAGGATATTTCCCTTTCTTCAAAGGTCTCCAAACCTCACAAGCTTTTCTTTGATATCTTTCCAAATGGATTTATCAGCATTGGGGCATACATTTGTTTAGATTGTTCCTGTAGGGTGGGACTTTCAAAGGAGGAGAAGAGTGCCAAGTGCCAAATTCTCACCAAGTTCTCCATAGTTTCCTTAGTTTCCTTTGAAAATCCTAGCTCTGGTCCCCATCGCTCTGCACATCTCTGCTGGAAAGGTGCCCATGGTACCCTGCACAATGTGGGCATAAGGGATACAGGAAAGATTGTGACATTTCAAAACACAGAAGGAGGAAGAACTGCCTCTAGACAGAGGAAATGCATGAAAATGTGGAGGTTGGGTAGGAAACAAAGAGGGAAATGGAGACCAAATTCCCTAGGCCCATCGTGTTTCTTTTCTTTTTACACAAACACACACGCCTGTTTACTATTTTTCTTTGGTTCTCAGTGCCTTTCTGTTGCATTTTCTCTGCTGTCATTTAGCCCTCTGTTGTCTTTTAGAACAACCATTGTGACACCTTGAGATGCTGTAAATCCAGCAAAAAGGGAGCAGAGCATGGGTCGAATGAATCCACTGGACAGCTGGTTGTTTTTTAGAGACCCATGGTATGAGGGCAGGGCATTTAGGCACAGAGATGTTGACTGGTTGCCAGACATTGCCCGATTTTTCTGTTGTTTTACCTTAATTTCAGTGGCCGTCCTGTGCAGTTGTGTATGGTCGTACTCCCAACACTATTGAACGTTGTCCTTTGGGTGTGTTCCTTCCCCCGTGGAGACACCACCTGACAGCGTGGGGTCTTTCCCAGATGTGTCTGAACAGAGACGTGAGCGTACACTGTGTATTGAGAGCATGGTCAGAATCCGGCCTCAAGAACAAACTTTTGACCATGCTCTGAGTTTGAGGTGCATTGGATCACCACATCTGGCGGTAATGGTCCTCCTCTGGGCTTCTGAAGAGAAAGTGGAGGTCTCTGCACTAGGGTGGAGGCTATAGGGAGTTTAGAGATTTGGCAAGTGGCCATCCTGTGCACTTTTCATAAAGTGGTAGCTAAGACCTCACTAATTTTAATGCACAACCTCAGAAGTAAGGAAAAGATCTACAGAGAGCTGTGTGGAAACATTCATGCTGGTAGCTACCAAATAACAAACTGATGGCCAAGCAAGGACTGCCAGAGCTGTTTGTTCTCTTGCCCTGGGGTAAAGGCCTGCTGAGGGCTGCTTGGAAAGGGTGTCAGAGAGGAATTTTTATTTTATGACTAAGGAGATACAGAGGCTACTTTGGATATTTTATAGGTGTGTTAATGATTTGTGAGCTAACAACAGGGTTTGTGGGTCCTCTAGTTTGTTTACAGGCTGAGAAGATCCTTCCGAGTTCTCTAATAGGATATTTGTAGTCACGTACCTCGATGTTCTTTTGAAATGGTAGGTACCTAGTGATTGCTTGGAAGCTGCCTCGTGCCTTAAATCTGATTAGTCCTTACTGCCTTGTGGTTACCAGATAGAATATGAGATGTTGATTTTGCCCTCAGATCCCAACGGCTTGGAAGCAGTTCTCTTAAGGTTAGCTTTATGTCATGAGCTAAGTAAGCTTCAGTGCATCCCTTCTCATCCCATGTGGATCCACAGATTAGACGTTGGCTCCAAATTTAGTGAGGCTGGGCAGAGACCTGCTGCAACAACCGTGCCTGGTACTTCTGAGGAGGGGCATGGGCAGTGGCATGCTGGGGCAGGGAGGGCACAGGGGTCTGTGTCCCCCGTGGAGAGTGAGGGGAGCAAAAGGGAGACTGTGAAGGGAGCTCTTCGAGAAAGACTGCGGTTTTCACCAAGGATGCTGGACAGGGCCAGCATCTGGCCTTGGGAGGTCCTCCAAACTCGGCACAGGATTTATTTTTCTGGAAGGGGCTTTGTCAGGCACTCCTGGAGTGTAAGCTCTTGGAAATCAGAGTTTCCCTGTGATTTATTTCAAATGTTCAGCTACCAAGAATAATAGATAGGGACCTCTCATGTGTTTTGGAGATCTAATAAAACGTGCAAGTCTATAAAGGTCTTTTGCCATGCACAATCAAATCAGCATTGCAAATCTATCTGAACATGGCACTCCAGCGCTGGTCTCCAGATTACATGCAGTGCATTTGGGGTTTGATGGTCTTCATTCAAAACGTTGGCTAAAATATTTTTATCTTTAGATTTATTTTTAGAGTTCATGGTTGAAAGATTTCAGCTCTGGGCAGTCCTTCCCGTGGCTTTTAGCAGCGACACTTGCAGTTGTGTTTCACATAATTAAACAGCCAACAATACTTAATGAAGAAATAAATAACATCAATAAAGTAGTAAATAATTGTATGCAGGCAAACACCAAAGACATTATCCATCAGGCAACAGCTGTGAGCATTAGTTTTGATTAATCAATAATGTTATACAATAGGAGGAGGAATGCTGGCCAGGCCTCTGGGGGAATCACCTATGCTTTTCTAAACAGCAAGCTTTGTTATTTTAAGCAGAACTTTCAGCAGAATCCTTAATTAAATGTAACAGCCAAGAGCTCCTCCATCAGCAAGATGCCCCACTTTTCAAAGCACACCAAACAGCAAGAGTTTAACCAGGACCAAACCAAGGCCTCGTCTTTATTTTGGAAAGATTTGTTGATACCTGCCTGTGTCAGAGGAGATGCTGATGGGGTACCACTCTGATGGTACCACTGACATGGAGTGCTCTGGCTGGCTTTGAGTGAGCTGCCCAGTGCAGGAGCTTGCTTCTGCTGCTCGTGAAAAACTAGTGGGTGCCTGTTGCTTCTGCCTTCAGAAAAGCATGGTATTCCAGCTCTGTATGCAGCTGACTGCTACAGAGCCCTTATCTCAGGCTGTAAGGCTCCTGGAGCAAGGGGTTTGTTCAAGATTTTCTTTCACAATGTAGACAAGGTTGAAGTTTTGCACCCATGCAGCTGCTCAATTGAAGACAAGCGTGGGCAGGTTTCTTTTGAAGTCAGAAAAGTCTGGTTCATCTTTAAATGTGTCTCCTGGACGGAGGAGCCCTAGCAGTGCTTTCAGGAGAAATGGATGTCCTCCCAGGCACATTCCTCTTCCTGAGCCTCCTGCCACAAGCCCATTGATTTCTGCAGCACTGCAACCTCAGCGTGCAGCAGTGCTGAGTTTTGCTTTGAGTTTCCAATCCTGTTGGTTGGCGTGACTGAAGGCTTTTTTTTCCTTAACATATGAGGAGCTTAAAAGAATGCAAACCTTTCAGAAAGACTGATCAAGGCACTAGATCACAGCATAGATAATAGGCACAAGATTTTATAGCCCTTAACCCATTAAAAAGAAAAAGAAGAGAAGGGACAGGAAGGATTTCTGGTGTCAGGGACACGTTTCCGGAACCCCTGCTTACATCTTGATGGCTTTTTCCTTACAAAGCCGATCACCAAGGACTTCTTGGCACCTGAATAAACAACAGAACCACGACGCTTCCACTGTAAATCAAAGGATGGCAATACCTCTCCACGAGCAGAAACAAGAGCACAAATAGAAAGAGGAGAGCAAAGTGAAGGACCATAGCTTGGTTTGAAAAAGTGAACCAAACAGACGTGTGACCCCAAATCTAAAGAGTTGTTTTAATTCTGTGCAATGGCAGATGCACCTACAACTTCCATGAGCAGGAGACATGCGGAATAGTTAATCTGGAAGTAGCAGCATTTGTGAGAAGTAAGGAGAGAGAAAGCCTTCAACTGTTTGAGAAATGAAGGTATGCAGACAGCAACAGCAGAAGCATCCGCTCCAGTGAAAAACTGAAACACTTCACAAAGATTATTCTTGGAGCCTTTTTTTCAAAACCCTATCAGAGGGAGGAACAGGAAAAGA